CTGAGGATTCAGAATCCCAGCCCAAGTCTGTGGCGTTCAGGATCATTGTTTGGTTCAGCAGTCACACCAATAAAACCTAAAGAAGAGAGAAAAAATTGAGAAATACGTTACTATCAGAAAGATGAGTCACTACCACAGCTCCCACATGTTCATCGAACAGCATTTCCAGAAACAGAAGCTGGTGTGGTTTGAGCCACAGGATGCAGGCTGTAGCATTACACAGAGCAGAAGAGCACTTGATGTGTTAATGCACTGCTTCAAATGCTATAATCTTGTAATCCAACACGGCTGAGCTATTGAGAAACCATCCTACCACTATAAGACCTTCAGATATTGTGTTCTCCTGCTCTTTGTGATATCATTACCTGCTCCATTTTGGGAAAACAACACAAAAAAACTACTTTCCAATAGCTATGTAGAAAAAAAGTAGTCTTGAAAGCCAATATAAGGTTTTTTTTTTTAAATGATCACTTTTTTTCAAATGTTTTTTTTCAAATGTTTGTTTTTTGTTTGTTTTTTAACAGTTAACAAAATCTATGTGTTTGTATTTTGGGACGTCACGTCCTTCTTGCGGGAAGGAGCGAAACTTCCAGTCAACCAATAGGCTATGTATTTTGAATGGTTTAGGATAGATATATAATATTTAATTAATCGCCAGGCTAACACGTGACTGTAAAAGGTGGGCTCTCATTTGCTGCCCACTGAAAAGAATGAATGAACTGCATCATTTTAAAATAGGATTACAGCTTAAGGCATATCTGCGTGTGGCTATATGTAAACTCGATTTATTATGTAAGCCACAGTCTGGGTTTTCCTCGTGATGCCGCACAGCAGAGGCACAGAACCTCGAATAAATTCTACGTGCAACATGCATCCATGAGAAAATCTGCGAATCTAAGGATCTTATCTTATAACAAACTGGACGTCCTGCAGGAACGTTATTTGCGCATTATTTCTGCTCTCCTAGGGCACCGAGTCCCCCCCACCCGGCGCTCTTTCTCCGTTCCCACAGTGAGGAGGTATATCCCACCTCCTAACGCAGGGGACCCTTTAGTATCATACAAATGCGGGTTCACTGCACCGTAGAGCGTGTCCCCCAACACATGCACGTACCGAGACACGTTAACAAGCATGTACTAAATTCCTCTCACCTTATTTAAACGAGTCAGTCCTCTGCGGGAGTCACACTGATTTTTTTCTCTCTTTCTCCTGTAAGATCCAGCACAGGTGATGGAGCCGAGGTGAGGCTGTTCGCCGTAAGGCTCGACAGCAGGTTTAAATACCGACGGTTCCCGTGTAGACACAGCTCCGCGTTCCCGTCTTCACCAAAGTTGCGCCAAACTCTCACCTGGCGTCGCTTGCATCTCTCCTTCTTCAAGCTCCCCGAATCGCTCACTGGAGGCAGAATGAATGTTCTTGCGCGCGGGATCATCCACAAGAGTCTGTCTGACGTCAGTGACTGGGAGCCTCGACCAATCAAGGGACGACGCCAGGGATGCGGGGGGGAAGTGGGAGGGGACGTCCATGGAGTAATTTCATTCAGAAAAATGCGGCAGAGCCCCGTCGCCCCTCCCACTGCGGCTCGCTAATGCTCTCATTTCTTGCAAATAACGACCATCGACGGACACACACGTTTTCTCAATAAGACCCAAACCCCTTGCTGAAGGTGAGGATACGAGTTTGTGTTGGGCAGGGCTGGAACTTGGCAGCTGTGAGCGCACAACGCAAAGCGCTGGCGCTGTCCACGGTGCTGAATCTCAGAGTATGACTCATGGGGAGATGTCGTACAGGGAGACAGAGAGCCTGCTGAATGAACGAATGATGGGGAGCAGCTTTAGCACACACTGAACTCTTTTTAAACACAATTTAAATTTATGTAAAGCACATAGGTGAACTATTCTTGAGGGTGAAGTGGTGAAAAACTGGCCTGTGCGTGCATGGTTGCACTAACAGAGATATGGGTATACTAATATGGAGTGCTGGGTAAAATTCAAGAAGTATTATACACTAAAACTGTTTTCAAAATAACATCAGCATACATATATATTATATATGTAGAAAGATAAATAGATATATAGATATAACTTGTCTTTATGAGCCTCGCACAGCCTCACAATCATTTAGAAATCTTCTAAGAGGATTGAGCATTTGTGTTTAGGCTGTGGGTGGTGAGGGCTTTCCTACAATCCAGCAAAGACAGGAATCAATCGTACATTTTGCTTGTTGTCCACCGTATTTGTCTCGTCTTTTTTGATTTTTTAGTATCGCTTCACAGAAACACACGCCCCCACCTCCCCTACAGTAATACAGCAGCAGGGGATTCGTGGCTTCCCCCGGTTTGACACGGAGCGTAGGACGCTACAGGCTGGGCTCAACAGCTGTCTGCGTGGTGGCGCACGGCGCTGAGCTAACTGGGGGAATCTCGTCTTGTTCGAGCCATATTAGGACACGCTTCCTGTCGATACACCCCTCCTACGTCACCGAGCTGAGTTGAGGCTCAACACTTGTCACCTTCGTAAATGTCGCCGGTATTAAGCAGCTTCTACAAATTTCTGCAGAATCACGGCTGCTCTGCTCAAGTTACCCACTTCTTTTTACACAGCATTAAACAATTTTGTTAAAATATTAACTGTGTTTTACATTAATGTAAAACACTTAATAATTATAGATTATTTGTGTGTGCGTGTGCCACCCTGTCCTTTATGTTATTATGTCATGTATATCTTTTCTAATACTAGCAGTGCTCCGTGGAGTGTAAACTAGTCTGTGGCCGGTGTTGTAGATTGCTTGCCCACAGCGGAGGAGGAAATCGTGTGGAACAGGATTGCGGAATATCCCTTTGTGTGTGTGTTTTCTTTGCTTCCTAACACACACGAGCCACTCTGAAGAAAGATCTACCCAGACAATAGGTGCCAGAGCATATGAGATGTGGGAGCTAAAGGAGCCACGTCGGTGTGAGAGGAGGAGGTGGCGATCATTGCATAAAGCTGCAAAGTTTTGTCGTGATCCTGGACTCGGTGCACGTTTTTTTCCCCTGCGGCCTGATTGGGGGCTGTGACTCAGTGCATCTGCATCACAAAGCGACAATTTAAAAGGTCGGAAGCACTTGTGCAGCTTGTGCTGATGCATTTGCCCAGCTGCACGTTGTGGAGCCTCTTATAAATAGCAAAACCTGAGCACCTTTGTACTCTGAGCTAACCCCATGCGCCACAGGTTTTTAGAAATGACGCATTTTTTTGTAATGTTGCCTTTCTGTACATCAACACAGTCGCTTTAAAATCAAACAACCAGGATGTGATTCAGATGCAGAGCCTGAGCTTTACATCAAATGGTTTAACAAACATGAAACAGTCTGAAGTCTAGAACACCTGGGCATCATGGACAGATTCTCTGTGCCTTGTTTAGATGATGTGAGGGGTTTTTCTTAATCAGATGAGGGTTTTTTTTTTTTGCTTTTCAGGCCTTTTTGTGTAGCCGAGAAGGTCAGTTGTTGATTTGTCCTGTCCTATAAGGATTTTGCTATTTCTCTAACAGGACTATTTGGTTTTTCAGCCTTACCTCCATCATCTACATCTATGTCTCTTTGGACCTCATGTTGAAAGTTCTGCTGAAAATCTACAGAGTTCAACACTTGGAATCAACTCCAGGTCTCTCACCAGCCTGATTTGTCATGGAATAACCAGGAAACATTGCTTAATTGCTGTTGAAACTGCTCATATCATGCAATACTTTTGTTAAACCACTTGAAGTAAAGCTCAAAGTCTGCCCCTCATTTACATCTGGATTGTTGGATCAAAAAACAAAACATACTGCCGTGATTTGTAGTCAAACAAAAATAATGTGTCATTGTCCAAAATCCCATATGGACTTAACTGTAGTTTCAAACAGTAATGCTCAATACTCACGTCTGGTCCTTTACATCCAGATCCAGCTTTACCAATAGGAATGTGCGATTTAACTGTAACCTCTTCAGCTTTCACAACTAATCACACATTAAGAGTAACATTACTACAAACATCCCGATCTAGGCTAGTGTCACAGAGTGTTACCATGGTTTTCTTTGTCTCTTTTCTTACATTTATCTGGGATATTTTATATTTATTTGCACAGATAATGTACAAGAAACATATTCTATCAATATGTGGGTGGTGATGCTTAAAAGGTATACAGTAAAAAAGTTTTTAAAAATCTTAATTTCATCCCCGAGGTAAAAATGTGAGTACAGAATAGATGAAAAGCCAATGCTTTTTTAGCAGAAACCTGTTGGAAATCTTTAAAGGGATATGAAGACCTTATTAGCTCTTGTTAGATCCAGCTCAAGGTCTATTAAACCTTCCTCCTCTTTGACTTGTATTACTGTAAGTATGAATAACATGAATTAGCATGAATTTATTTTTGAAGCTGTTCATATTTTGGATGTTTTGGGGGATCTGGGTAGATAAAAGAATCTCAATAAGTCACAAAAGACATTGAAGGAATGAATTTTAGCTACAATAGCAACATAAACCTCAGGTTTAAAAGGTCAACAGCATTTTTCAGCTATTTTATTCTTGATATCTTCATGGGCATCACATGACATTTGGTGCTGATGAAGCTGACTGCAAGTGACTTTGATGATTACCCTTTTCATGCCGTAAAATATCAACATCTGTTTAAATGAAGCGTAGACATTCAAGGGCCCCACAACATGGATTTTAGAAAATTTAACAAAGCAGGCAACCATATCACTAAATCCAGAGTTCCAACAGGGAAAACAAAGAACCTTGTCATGCGTTTAAGTGCAGGTAACATCAAAATGAACACTAATTTAGCTCAGTTTATTCCCATTAGTCCTTCTTTAATTTATAGGCTTCACAAGGACATATGTGTGAATGAAGGTGTGTGTATACGTTCACCGCCTGCTTAGGTAAACAGGTGTCAGTCCGTTCCAACTGGCATGCATTTCAGGTGACTTGAGGTGGGCCAGTTGGTTGCCAGGGAACCAAGTTTAGTGGCGCTCATGTTACACAGATCTCCTCACTCCTATCTGTCATTGTGTCCTGGTTATCATCACCTCCAGAAACCCTTTCGAGGACAAGCTGAGGAGACTTAAATTCAAAGCCTTTTTTTTAGTTTTTAAAATCAACTCACTTTTAAGTGCCAACGTTTCCAGGTGTTGCTCGCAGGCGTCTGTTGCAGTCAGGATGCAGCTGGTGACATTTACTGTTCTCTCCTCCACTCTGCTGCTTCTAGCAGTGATCCATTCTGTGTATCTACAGCCAGGTATGGGTCTATCTGTATGTTTTATTTTCTTACAGGGTGTCCATTTCGGTATATTTTGCACTGAACTGGCTTGTGTGTCTTCCTAAGCTTGCCATCTGCTGTCTATTTTCGTGCTTTAATCTGTTGTCTTTCCTCATTAATGTCTCACTTCTTATTTACTGGTAAGATGGCTTCTTGTCTATTATTACTAACACACCGAGAAGCAGCACAAATAAGAGAGTTTAACAGGAAGCAATTATCTTTTTCTTATCATCATAAACTTCTGCATTCTCAGATACTGTCCAAACTAACAGGATATCATATAATAATGAAGCTGCTTCAGAATAAATGGGCACTGGCCAGCCAGCTGGGTTTTGATTGACACTGCTAATTAACTGCCAGTGTTGTCCCTCCTACAGATTGTTCTCAAGCCGAGTCATGTGACCTGTGTGTCGGCGATTCCATGCTCAACCTGACAGGCTGTGTCTGGAGGCTTTGTCCAAATGGTGACACACATGCACACACACACACACACACACACACACACACACACACACACACACACACACGTACACACACTGATAGTAATTCAATCACCGATGCTGCTGTAACACTAGCTCCCCTGGTTTGTAGAAGATCACTGAATTATTGAGTGATGCCAGGGTCTGTCTCCCTCAGGCAATGATACAGGCATGTGTGTGACCGATGAAGGGGATTCGGCAGACAACGGCATGAACTGCAGCTGGACCAGAGTGTCTGAATTGTGCACAGGTATTAAAAAAATGAACATAATTTGGGGGGGGGGGGATTTGATATCAAGTGTTTTTCTGCCATCTTCATAACCCTGTTACATAATTTATTCCCCAGTTGTAGAGTCTGTCGCTGCGGGAGGTGGTAAAACCGTTTCAGGTAAACTGAATCAACTCTGCTTCAGACGTCATCTCCTAGTCCCATAACAGCTGACTAAAAGATTTCCTAAAGGCAATCCAGTCATCTCCACCCGCTAAAAACCCTGTCAGCACTTTATAGATATATATATATAAAAAAAACAACCAGTGAATTCTGTGTCATTTCCCTCAAGGTGATGACAGCAACACCAACTCCTCCCCCGAGTTCTCCCAGGCCAAGTTCGACATGTCCAGCTTCATAGGCGGCATCATACTCGTGCTGTGTCTGCAGGCAGGCGGATTCTTCGCCATGCGCTTCCTCAAATCCAAAGAGCAGAGCAGCTACGACCCCATGTGAGTTTATGCGCGGAGGTGTTGGAGAACACAGAATCTCACGCGTTTGTGCGAAACGTGTTAAGTGCAACAGCAGCCTCTGGTGGCAGGAATCGTCAACAACACACGATGCACAGCGCAAACGGTTCACCTTCAGCATCTCTGCCTGTCTTGTTTTGATTCTGATCACACACGCTTTCCATCTGTCTATACACACTCTTCTGTCTGTCTTCATGCAGAGAGCAGCCACAGTGAAGACAAGATAAATGACGGACAAGCAGACGGTGCAGAGAAGGACAGCAGAACGGTGACTCATCTGGTTATGACGACAAGAATCTTTTTTCCTCTCCCTTTTTCCCCCTGTCGTTTTTTTGGTCTGGTCCCTGTGTGTACCCCCTGGGGGATGGGTGTGTTTGTACGAGGACATATTCCCAAAATACTGCATTGTGTAACAAGTGTCTGTGCATGAGCTCACTGCAGTATTTACAGTTCACGATCAGTGTGTTAGATGCACGATCAAGCAAGACTTTGATTTCTGCAGAATTTTATGCAACTGCTTTGTGATCATACAATTCACCTTACACCTTAAATTACAGTAATTTAGGTGTTTATACTGTTATAAATAGTGTGGTGCAGTTATATTATTACATTTAGGCTGTAGTTTAGACAAGGTCACAACAAACATTTTATCCATCGTCTTTGAGTACATTTCTGTTCATGTGCATTTTGATAACTTTCTAGAGTTTTTTTTGAAACAAATATAACCAAATGTTAACCTGTAATGTATGAAATTATTGATTAATATAATATAAATATAGTAACCAAGGTCCTAAAGTCCACTCACAGGCTGTTATACCTCTTTCCGTCAAGTTGCAGTGAGTGTTGGTGCTGCTGCGGATGCAGGGAGACGTCTTCCTTTAGTGCCTTTTGAAGAAAAAAAAAAGTAATCCTACATTTTAAATGGTTTGAGGAGTGATTACATAGCTTTACTAGCAGTGATGCTTCTTCTATTTCCATGAGAAGAAAATCATGCAGGCTAATTCATTCACCAGTTATTGTTTAAATATTTTCAGCAGGTCCTTGTATAGCCACTGACATTGCTGCTTCCAGCTTTGGGGTCGTCTGTTTTATGGTGGCCTGCTACTGCCAGTCTTATTTTAGTGGGGAAAAAAAATAAGCTACAGCTCGGACACCTGCACCTCACTGATGGAAAGGAAGTGTTAGAGATAACAACTGTGATAACAACCTGTGAACCACTGAGAAAGACACACCATAACCTAAAACCTGAGCCCTAATAGTAGAGTCAGGATTTCAATCTTTATAAAAACCTCCAGTAATGACCCTAGTGGTGCATTACTTTTATTTTGATGCTCTTACTGTCAGTAGTTCAGACAATTTCTATCTTAAAAAAAAAACAAAAACAAAAAACCCAACGTGGTAGTGATGGAGAAGAACTCTGACTTGATTTCTCAGATTTATAATAAAGTTTGAACCATTTGATTGCTGTTATAAAACAGGTGACATAGAGGTGATCCTGTTTAAATAATACTAATGTTGGTTAAACTCATTAATATGAGCTGTTTGATTTTTTTTGTGATGACACTGGATTTCCTGAATAAACTAGGAATAAGAAGAGGTGTCTCTCAGTGTGTTTGGCATGTCTTTGCTTTCTTGCATTTAAATATGCAAACACAACTTGCGGTTCCTGAGTACTTAAAGGTAGAACAGGAGGCAGAGTCTGCAGCTTCATGCCCCTCTTCTGTAGAACCAGCTCATAGTTTGGATTCAGGGCACAGACAGCCCCCATAGTTTTTAAATCAGGCTTAAAACGACCCTTTTTGATAAAGCATATAATCAGGGTTGGATAGAGTGACCCTGAAACCTCCCCTAGTTAGGTCTAGGCTGCTGAGGACTTCCTATTATTCACTCACCTTAACACCACTTTGCATTTAATCATTAGTTATTAATCATTATTTTCTCCCTGTCCTCCCCTCATAACCCCCAACTGGTCACTGCAGATGTTTGCCCCTCCCTGAGCCTGGTTCCCCTGGAGGTTTCTTCCTGTTAAAAGGGATTTCTTTCCTTCCCACTGTTACCATGTTCTCACAAGGGTCATGTGATTGTTTGGGTTTTCACGTTAAATATGAAGCAGCTTGAGGCGTCTGTTGTTGTGATTTAGCACTATATAAATAAAATAGAATTGGGCAGAGGAACTGAACTATGATCTGCTTAAGACCAAGGACCTGTTAATAAAAATGACCTGTCCATGTACCATATCTGGGTGTCAGTATGGACCCCAGTATTTGGCACTAACAGAGCACTGATGGGACTCTGTAGGGGAGCAGAGCGAGGGCTGGTTGGATGCTTTGGTCTCTGTCTGAGCCAGGACCTATACAGGCTTGAATAAGTCCACACAAAAAAGCTTTCCCCATCTGAGGAGACTGTGGCTGTCATCCAAGTTTGGTGACAAAGGACAGAACTTGGCCTTTTTCTCTCTTTCATCCTCTCCTACCCTCCCCCCTCTGCCTTGCACACACTCACACAATGCAGTTCCACTGAGGGAAAGGGAAGTCCAACACCTTACCAAATTTAAACTGAGGCTGGTGTTCCTTTTCAAAACAGGCAGAGGGCTCGATATCTGCGTGCATGTTTGTGCACAGTAAGGCCAGGTAGGCAGGAGTGTGTGTGCTTAGCAGGTGTGGACAGCTACAAGATACATCCCACCTCCACCCTGCAGTTTGGTAAAACATCCGCGTGAGTCATATCACACTGTCAGACAAATACACAGTATCAGCACACACACACACACACACCTTCACAGCTGAGAGCAGCTCCTGTGCGGACTAATTCTGGAGGGCGTGTTCACTCCGTTTACTCAGCACACAAGCGTCGACGTACACAGACAAACACATCGCACTGAGAAAAAACTTTTCCTGAGAACTTTCCCCCCCGATGGAACCAGTGGAAGCTGTCAAATAAGGTAACCCGGTTTTTCTTTCGTGTGTTTCTTTCTGTGTTTCTAACAGAAGGGAGAGGAGAGAGTTTAATCTTTAATCTTTAAAGGGAAAAGTTGCGACAGGTGTTTCCTCTCTCGCGGTAGATTCGTAATGAGAAGAAGTGCACTGACCTATTTCTTTTCCCCCTAAAGGGCACTTCGCGTAAATAAATAAGCCTAAACAATTAAACCTATTAACAGTCTTAAAAACAAGTGTTCAGTCACTTTTAGAGGTTTAAACCTATATAACAATAAAAAACACCAAAGGAGTGCTTTGTGGAGGAGCTATTGATAAGAACAACAACGTTGTTATTAATATTACTCGGCGTGTTTTGTGAAAACTGGAGCACTTTGTGCGTGGCGTTTTCTAACCTACGCGTTGACAGGCGAACACGTTCCTGACGCGCATGCGTTAACTTCTCAAAAGTAACTAGCCTTAGGCGTTGGGGACATGAAAACTCATTAACAGTTATTACATGGTGGTGCGGAAGGTTAGATCATCCATCTCGGCCTTACATTAGCTGAAAGTGAATTCAGTAGTAGGTTGTTATTAATCTTTTTGAATGTAGTTTTTTAGGCTGTCTACAGTAGAGTACTTAAGAGTAGGAGGGAGTGAAAGTCATTGAAGACAGGAAAGGCTCACCTGGAACAGCATGTATTACTGCATCCTGAAAGATACCAGGGAGCTCGCTTCAGGTGATTTAAAGAAAAAAAAGAAATAGCTTTATTATAGGTTTCCTCTTAAGCATTTCTCTACTCTGTTTCATGTAAATGAAAATTTGTGCAGTTTGTAACCTTCAGACCTCTCTGAGCAAAGTAATGTCATCATTAACCAAATTTTACATGTGGAGGGAAAAAAAGTTTACAGGACTCTGCTCAGTCCTTTAAAAAAAAAAAAAGTACACCCTATGATTAAACCACTTGTAGAACTACCTTTAGCAGTATTAACTTGAGGTGATTATTTCTGTGTGACTTATTCCCCCACAAAGGGTCAACATATGTGGATGAATTCGGTCCACTCTTCTCACACAACATCATCAGCATTGCTTCAACTTATTGTGGTTTGCAGGCTCTCTTTGATGCACATCTGTGTACAACATTTCAATCAGGTTAAGGTCTAGACTTTGACTGGGCCATTGCATCACCTCGATTCATTTCCTTTTCAGTTGTTCTGCTGTAGGTTTGCTACATTTGACACTAGAATATTTTGGTTATACAAAGGGGCTCGTGGTCAGCTCAATGACTGTGAGGTGCCCAGGTCCGGTAGCTGAGAACCATGCCCAAAACATCCCCCCACTTCACCACCTGCTGACAGCTAGTATGAGGCGTTTGGTTGTCATGTCCCCCAAAAGGGCCAAGAGGATGAGGAGTAACAATAGTAAGTCCAGGAGGAAAAAGAAAAGACAAAAAACTTTTATTAAAAAGGGCTTAACTCAAAGAGATGGCTACACTACTATAACAATCAAACAAATATGTCAACAAACTAAAACACGCTGAAAAGAAAGGAAATCATTAACAAACCAAAGAAAAGCACCGCTGCTGTCAGCAGCTACTCATTGGTAGCTCAAACACACCACTAAATGCTCTGTAACAGTACACCTAAAACCAGTAATTTGCAGCTGGGGGAAAACAACTACTCACTGGTACCTCAAACCCCACACCTAAGCTCACCACAGCACTCACTCTGAGTGACTAAGTAGGCCGTCACCAGCTTTTATGCAGTTTGGTGGTTAATTGCTGAGTGGAGCCAGCTGTGCACCAGCTCCTCAGAAGAAATGGGTGGCAGCTGAAGTCAGAAGGAAAGGAAAACAGGACACACACGCAAAGTTTGCTAGTAGTACAGTAGCGCTGTGCGTCGTGGCTAAACACTTTGGCGTTGTCTCTTTAAAGGACATTGCTTCAGAGGTCTTGGGGTTTATTTAGAACTTTGCAAACCTAATCTGTGCTGCCACGTTCTTCTTAGAGATAAGAAGATATGTCCTGTTTAACACTGTCATGAATTTAACATGCTAACTGTGGCTGTAGCTTTTGGGTTTTCTGCAGTTTCTCTGAGCATTACATGGACTGACCTTGAACTTAATTTGATGGGACATCCACTCCAGTGAAGAACGTGGCATTGTGTTAGCATAGAAGTAAAGAGCTTTTAAAGAGGCACTCACACTTACTGATAATCATAAATAAAGTGCATTTGATTAGCAGGACCTGGCTGCTGATTACCTTCTTAATTCCAATGGGAACAGCAAGATGTACTTAGTTTTTTATAGGAATGTGAACTTTCTTTTTCAAATGACTTTAACCAGACAAACCTTTATTACTGTTAAGAGGTAATAAGGAAAAAAAATCCGGAAAGGCTAGTTTGCAGAAATTTTTTTTTCAATGCACTGAAATGAAGAAAAAGAAAAGTTTTTGTAGAACAGTAGATTTTAAATGTATTATAATGAACCTGATATATTGCACATTCATGTTATGTTCTAATCTCAATGTCTAATGAAAGCAGTAAGACTGTAGTGTACTGCACTATTTGTGTTGTGTAATGATAGTCAAACACACTTTTGTCTTAGGGATGGAAGGAAAGCAGGGAGACTCCTCACTTGACTTGAGCCACCTGACGGAGGAGGAGCAGACCTCCATCCTGCAGGTTGTACAGCGTGACTTGGAGTTACGTCGCCGTGATGAAGGACGTGTAAGGTCAGAGGTGACTATTTA